GGGGGGGCCGGGCCAAGATGTGTCCCTCACCACGTCCATACTGAGCTATTTGCTCCGCCAGCACCCCACTTCCTGCGACCAAGATCTTTATTACTTTCCTAGGGCTACGTCACAGGGGACCACAGACTGATAGGTTTCAGCGACAGTCATTTATCTCTCAGTCCTGGAGGCTGCAGTCGAGATCCAGTGTCCCAGGGCTGGTCCCCCCCGAGGCCTCTCTCCTGGGCGTGCAGATGGCCGTCTGCTCCCCGTGTCCTCACATGGCCGTCCCTCTGAGTGTGCCTGTGTCCTCACCTCCTCCTCTTATAAGGACACATCCTGTTGGACCAGGGCCCACCTAGTAACCTCCACTTAGCTTGCTCGTCAGCAGAGTCTATTTGCAAATGAGGTCACCTTCACAAGCATCAGGGCATAAGATTCTCACATTCTCCTGCAGGCGCAGAAAGTCAAGTGCTAACAACCGCTGGGTACACACACACACACACACACCAACCTGGCTGGGGGGGGCTCCTAGGAGGACGGGTGAGCCGGGCACCGTCTCCCCTCCTGTGTGTCCCTCAGACTTCCAGGCTCTGTCACACAGCCCTTCCATGCTCCCCCCAAAACCCGGTGGCAAACAGGGGTCGCTCAAAATCTCCGCAAGTGCCACACTCTCATCTGCAACCCACGTGCATCTTTCTTCTCTTCCGTTCAACAGCAACTCACACACGTCAGCCCCCAGCAGTGGGGTCCCACCCAGGATGGGTGCACCCCAGAAAAAAGCGGGACTCTTGCACAGTCACTGAATTTCCCACCAAGGCTGGATCTTAGGAGACGAGCGAGAGATGTCTGTCTAACGCGGGCACGCAAAAGACGCACGAGCCAACAAATATCCACTGCAGCCTTTTTGATCACAGGAAAGCTGTTTAGTCGTATTGTCATTGTACGCAAGGCTTTTTACAGGTGTGATTCCAAAGGAAGCCTGACTGCTCCCGCAACGGCTCGGAGACTTGGATGAATCTCTAGGGAATTACGCTGGGTGAAAAAAAAGGCAATTTCAAGTGCTTCATTGTGGATGAGTCCATTTACAGCGCGTTGTTGAAATGACAAAGTTGTAGAAATACAGGACTGATTAGAGATTGCCGGGGTGACAAGGGGGGGTGAGGGGTTAGCTGTGGAGGGGGCGGAACTACAGAAAGGCCACCACCCAGGGATCCCGGTGGGGACAGAATGGCCGGGTCCTGCATTTGTGGCGGGGAATTCACAGACCTTCACGTGCAGTAGAATCGCACAGAAAGAAACACACAAAGAAATACTCGTTGAGACGGGAAACCTGAGTACCAGCACGGCGGCGCTTTTGTGTCAGCATCTTGATATGAGGTGTGGTTTAGGGCAGTTTTTCAAGGTGTGCCTGGGAGGAAAGCCAAGCCAAGTGTGCACAGGGTGTTGCCCTGTTCTTTCAACCGCACGTGAATGTACCATTATCTCAAAGCAGAAACTTTACAAAAAAGCGTCTCAAGGGGGGAGAAAAAAATGAACAACAACGAAAGTCCAGGCTCGGGCCGTATTAACAGCCTTCTTTAAAAAAATGTGAACAGAAAAACAAAGGTGTCTTGGCTTCTTGGCCCCTGTCCAGATGTTTTGAAAATAATCAGATGCTTTGTGGCTCCTGTTTGAATGGGCTGATGTATCCACGTCCTGGGTGTTTTATCAAATACAGAGAGCCGGGGGACAGGTACAAATGTGTGGGTGGAGAGGGAGAGAGAGAGGGAGAGGGGGAGAGATATGCTGATAAATAGATAGAAACATGATAGATATAGAGAGGGAGGGAGGCAGTGAGACAGCATGTGCATGCGAGCAAGAGAGAGAGAGAGATGTTGATAGATAGTTGTATAGATAGATAGATGACAGATAGACTTCACCCATCGGGAAGACCAGGCTGAGAGAGAAATCGCTGTTTCCATGGTCTGATCCCAAAGGGACCGGAATACAACGGGCTCTCCTCAAAAGAGAGTGCTAGCCCCCAAGACGCCCTCCACTGGGTGATGGAGAAACTCACTGTGGTCCATCCATTCACCCACCCCGTTGCGTATTACTCAGCGCTCAACAGAAATGGCCCATCCAGCCACGAAAACATGGGGTGGACCCGTAAATGCATACGGCTGGGTGAGAAGGCGGCATGCCGCGTGATTCCAACTCCAGGGCGTGACGGAAAAGGCAGAACTGTGGAGACAGCGGAAAAAATCAGGGTTTGCCAGGGGTCCGGAGGGAGGGGCCGAGGCGTGAGCAGGGGGAGCCCAGGGGGTTTTCAGGGCAGTGACACTACTCTGCGTGGCCCTGTCGTGATTGATCCCGGTCATGAGACGTGTGTCCAAACCTACGGCATGTCCAACACCAAAAGGGACCCTGTTGTACACTGCGGAGTCTGGGCGAGGACGTGTCCACACAGGGTCCCCTACGGTGACACATATACCCTCCGGTGGGGACGCTGGCGGTGGGGGAGGCCGTGCCTGGGGCGGGGCCAGGGGCGTCTGGAGACATCTCTGTGCTGTCCTTGCAACGTTGCAGAGAACGTTGCATCTGTGCTGGAATATAAAATCTGTTATCAAAACAAAAAGAAGACACACGGTGATGCTAAGTGTGCTGGTCGGGGACAGTGAGGGGCCCAGAGGCGGTGAGAATGAGAACACGCCTCCCGTGGGCATTTGAGACAGCGGACGGAGCAAACGCAGGTGGCCCTCCCCGCTGTGGGTGGGCCTCGTCTCATCAGGGGGAGGCCTGACTCGACCACAAAGATGGAGGGAGAATTC